GGTGGAGGGCGTGAAGGGAGGGCTAGGAATGCGGAAAAAACAAGAACCAAGATGCATTATGTAAAGGTACAAGTTCCCAATGAGAAATGTAATTGTGTTGTATGCCTAAAATGTACCAATAAAAGAATTTTAAAACAAACAAACAAACAAACAAAAAACTCCAAACCAAACAGCAAATAAATCTACTGGCCATAAGACCAAAGAACTATACTATACTATCAGCAAAAATGCTGAAAGAGGACAGATACCTCTTGAAAAATAGAGCCATGCAATTTTGCTTATCTGTCCTACAAACTGATTTTTCAATCACTGGCAAAGCCAAGCTAATATATTCTAAAAACCTGTCCAAAGTTAATTTAACTAAGTTCAGTCTGCAAATATCATCTCAACACTATGTCCTGAAGACAAACATCAGCCAATTTTGCCTCAAATGCTTCTGTAAAATTTTGGTTTGTTGTAGTCCTAAAACTATGTGCTAAGTCTAAAGTGAACAACTTAGAAAATATTCTCTTTATTCATGTGATGATTTGTTAGTCCCAGAGATAATCATTAAAATCCCATTATTTTCTTCTTTTTTGAAATTATTGATTATTAGGGTGCTGAGGCTTGAACCCAGGGCCTTGTCCACACCTGGAAAGTGATCTACCACAGGGTTACGGCCCCAGCCCATTTTCCTCTTTAAATGAGCACTAGATGATGATTAATCCTTTTAGCAAAGTATTAACAAGTTCATGAGCAAGAAGCAAGTCTGGGTCCCCAATTTGCTATAGATTGGTAAATTGGGAATGAACCAGCTTGGGAGAACCAGAGATCGCATGCTCCACCTACACATTAAAAACTCAACTAGAAAACAAAAACATAGTGTGAGCTTCCCAACAACCATCTGTGTGCTTATAACAGGCCAAGAGTTTGTAACTCCTGAACGAAAGTTTAGAACCCGAATCTGAAGCTCGCTTCCAAATAGGGTTGCTTCCTGTCACAAAGAGTCTACACAACAGATTCTAGATTTTGATGAGTGTGTAGTTGTTCATGTATAGGAAATATCACTCATCTGGAGATCTCTTGTCACATTTCCACCTGTCCTGGGTGGGAGTTAATTACAACATATACATTACTGGAGTATTTAAAAACAATTTCTGTTTTGCTTGCAAAATGGTAGATAATTGGTACACAAAAATGAAATGCCACTATTGGCATCTTACCTGCTTCAGAAATCGGTCAGATGCATTGCTGTGCTTAGCTAACACACTTGGCAGGCCAGGGTTGGCGTATTCAAACTGGGGGTTGTGGGTATAGTCAGACTTAAAGAATCTCAGTTTTTCTTTCTCTAAGTTGGTAGGCTTTATAGCAGTCAATATGCAAAATCTCTTTCCAGAAAAGTCATCTGCTTTTTCAAAGCTTCTAGACAGCTGAGGCTGCTGCTTAGGCTTTGGCAGAGCAGAGAAATGGCGTCGTTTGATCTTGCTTTTAGGTTTAGGTGGCAAGACTATGCTGGTCCCTGTAACAGAGATATCACGGGTAAACTTTACAGGACTTGACACTGAGCTAGTGACAAAAGCAGCAGGCTGCCTCTCCAGGCAACACCAAGTACCACTGCTTGCCATGGGCACCGGGCCTTTTGTCCTGTGAGGGTCTCTGCTATGAGAAGAGCTAGGGCATTTGCTGGGCTTTCTACATCTTTTGGAGTAGGTGGAGGAGGACTGTTTTTGTGAATGATGCTTTCTTTCCTCCTTGCTCTGCAGTAGGACATTGTAACTACTGGTTCCAGTTGTGAAAATGTCCTTTAGTATTCCAGAGGATAAATGCGAAAGGCTTCTCTTGTTGTCAGGGATCAATGAGTCTTCTGCATTTAGAACAGACTTCTTAGCAAGTTCTTGCTCAGGCCAGTGAAGCTTCTCTGTGTTAAATAAACAAAATCAAAACAAAAGAAATAACAAAGATACCGGATGAAGCAAACTGCTTTTATATGAAGAATATTCTGATGGCTTGTAAACTTTATAAATTTGCAATAATCTTTAGAAAAGATATTTAAATATTAATAGGATGTATTACTTGGGTAATGCTAGACATTATCGCTTTTCTTCCCCATAGTGTATATATGTTAAATTATCTGTAAAAATTCCTCAGCTTCAAACCATGTACATGATCAAAGTCTAATACAGATGTGAGATAAGACACTAAATAATCTGAAGACACTACTAAAGAATGTCGATTTCAGAAAGAATATATTCCTAATAGTATTACTAATGAACAAATAAAATCCAAGGTATTTTCAAAATTAATATGATCTTGAAATCTGAAACTATGTAGAAAAAGGCAGCCTGTTTACCCCAAAAGCCACTTTCAGGATTGAACAGATGACATGCATGTGTTTAAGCACTCAGTATCAATAACTGGTTGATTTTATTAATTCTAAGTTATATTTTAAGCTTACAGTTTTTTCTTGACAAGACTGAAAAGCAAATTATAATTACTATTACCATGATACATATATATTAAGTGGCAAGTTAAGGGGAGGGCAACTTTCTCTTTAGGGCTCAAAAGCACTTTAAACAAATAAGACCTATATACTGATATTCACACACTGCTTTAAAATTGTGTTCTGTCTTGTTTTACTCACAAATATATAGAATACTACTGACTTGTATAAGGCTCTAATAAACACCTGTATAAGTACACTATTCCTGCCTACAGCCAGCTTCTAATCTGACTCCAAAAACAAGGTGTTTTGATTAATAATACCAGTTAGCCTATGATTAAAGGTAAAAAAAGACACCAACAGTAATCTAGGGAGGGAGCAACTGAAGAGGACCAGGTGAGGGGGTCCCAGGTGGGGCTCAAAGGGCTGTCAGACTCACTAACTGAAATGCAGCTTAAATGCAGCCATGTGAACAAGACTCTAGCTAAAGTCCTGTCAAGAAATGTGCAGTGAATAAAGTAATTAATCAGTGACCCTACACATACCACATTCCAGCCACTAAGTAAAGAGGGATCTACAGTTCTGGAAGCATTCAGTTTTCCTACAGGAAGAGCCCTGCAGAAATAGAAACCCACAAAGACCCTGAGCTGAGGATGACTCTGCCCTTGGGGACATCTGGCAACATCTGATGTTTTGGTTGTCACAGCAGGAAAGGGCTATGGGCATCTGTGGACAGAGGGCAGGGATGACACAAAAGATCCTTCACAGGAGTTCTGTACACAAAGAAACATTCACCCCAACATGTCGATGGTAGCGAGGTAAAGAAACTCTGTTTTGAACGTTAGCTTTGAAAGCCTAGAAGTCACAGGGTTTAGGGCGAAGAAAGAGTACCAGGTCACAAGTGGCCTAACCCCATCCAATTACGTAAGGTACTTAAAAAATTCCTTTTACTTACATTTTCTAGGACAGCATATGAAATCTGAATTCCAGTGTCTAAAAGTATTTGCAGGGACAAAATATCTACTGTATGTACAAGTTTAGAAGTAGGAGTCAGCTTGCAAGGTTCACGCCGAAGGTGGGTTGGACACAGAAGCCATTCAAAACATGTTAAAGATTCAATCAGCCAAAAACAAGACAGACACCATTTTCATCACAGGCTGGTAAGTGCCAGTTTCGCAGAATTTTCAGACGTGAGGCCAACTGAGAGTCAAAACTGGCAAGGCAAGCAAGCTAAGGAACACCAGGACACAGGCTGCAGCCCAAATCCCCGACAACAATGCCAGTTTCCTTGAAAAGACACCACAGGTTTAGGAAACAAGAGATGACAATGAAAGCAACACTGAAATGGACACTAATTGGGAAAGAGCAAGAGAATGAGATAAGAACACAGCAGTATCGTAAGCCTAGAGAAGTAGGGTAAGGACCAGAGCGGCCAGAAAGGTAAAGGGAGGTAACCAGGTTCTTTCTCAGTTTGAGCTTCATTTAAGACAAGGGAAAAAGTTGCATGAAATTAAAACCAATGAATAAAATCACCCTGAAGAACTCTGACGGTTCATTACATGTCTGATTTTTTTTTTTTTTTTTGGTACCGGGGATTGAACTCTGGACCTTGCGCTTGTGAGGCAGGTGCTCGAACCACTAAGCTAAATCCCTGGCCCAGAACATGTCTGATTTAAAAAAAAAAATTCAATGTAAAATGGTTTCTTTGATCCTGAACACTTAACTTTATGACCATAGAGCCGATTTCACTGAGTTCCTTTGTTTTGTCATAAGGCATCAGTGACTTCCAAATTCATAATTTTGTCCGAGGTCAAACTATATACTTTAGGATATGAAAAAAACCAGTCCTGAACTTCTTACAGAAGCCCCCCAGGAGAGAGGGTGGCAGAGGGGCATGTGACAAAGCATTCTCCCCAGGCTATGGCATTCGGCTCACCTGCTGACCATCTACTGAGAGCTCAGCAGCATGCTCGAGGCCCATCTGCTGCTCCACAGTTTCCAAGTGCCAGGTGAATTTATTCCCAACACCAATCTTGCCAAATATTGGCTCTTCCATGAAGCCCAGAAAGGTGGGGCATATGGTCCTTCAAGATGGACACAGACTGACTTCTCAGTCATGCTAATCATACTTCAGTTGTATATAATACTGTCCTCGGGCCAGGGATTTAGCTCAGTGGTTTCATCGCCTGCTGTGCAAGCACAAGGACCCGAGTTCGATCCCTGGTACCAAAAAAAAAAAAAAAAGACTTAGTAATTGTAATACTGTCCTCATCATTTTAAGTACTACTGTTTATTCTTTTAAAAAATGACCTTTCATACATAAGAACATAATAAAAGGCTGATGAGATTTCCAGTTGTCTACATAATTTATTAAAGAACACTTCATTCCCTGACTCCTCCTTCTTGAAAATTTTTCTCTTAGGAAGAAGTATTTTTCCTCAAAGAAGCATTAATTAAATCTCATAATCTCTCACATAAAAAGTTGATACCGTGTAATTTAACAAGTTACCCATCAGCAATCTGTTCGTTAAAATCTCGGAATGAATAATCTGTTCACCTCGACCTGGTTTCCCATGCTGAGGAAAAAAGGGTAACCCATATTACTAGATAAAAACTAGTAGTTTCCCCTCAGCAGGTGAGTGCTCAGCTCGCCAGCACAATGGGAGCTTCACAAGCATCTAGAACTGGAGGAAAGGAGACAGGAGCCAGCGTCCCCTGGCAGCTCCTTCAGTGACCTCTCTGTAACATCAGCCTAATCGTCCACCCCATCAGGGCCGCTGCTGTTCACTCCTCAGAGCAACACTGGGGAGAAGGGGATGCTGCTCACTTGACCCAGGCTTTCACACCTGGGAACAGGCGAGGTTTCACATGACTGCAAGGCCCCTGGCTAAATGGCGGATCACCAGAAACAGAAGCCCTGTGGAAAAACACTGCTCAACAAATCATGGCCTATAAAACAACTAAGATTTGGTCATTTTTTTCTTTTGGTCCTGGGGAACAGGCTCTGTACCCCTGGGGATAGTACCACACTCCTGTAATCCCAGCTCTCGGGAAGCTAAGGCAGGAGGATCTATATGAGTTTGAGTATAAGGCCAGCCTGGGCTACATAGTGAGTTCAAGGCCAGCCTAAACTACTTGGTGAGACCTTGTCTCAAAAAAAGCCAACATAGATAGATAGATAGATAGATAGATAGATAGATAGATAGATAGATAAGATAGATAGATAAGATAGATAGATAGATAGATAGATAGATAGATAGATAGATAGATAGGCAGGCAGGCTCTACCACTGAGCTACATGCCCAGCCTACAGTAACATATGGTTTACTAATACTTATGGAACCTGAGAATCTGGGATAAATTTACAGCACAAAACAATCAGTTGCTTGGTTACACACAGAAGAAAAAACAATGTAAAACAAAATAATCCCTGGATGAGATAACACTTTATCAAGTATTTCAGCACTTAAAACTCAACTGAAGTACCTGTCAAGAGTACAAAGAATGAATAAATTGTGGCACAGTAACACAACAAAATACTACACTCTACTGAAAAACACTGAGGTTGCTCAGACAAGGTTCAGGAAAGGAAGCCGATCAAAGGAGTATATATTCCATTCATATAATCCTATTCAGATGCAGTTCAGAAATAACAAAACTTATTTATGATAGCAGAAGCCAAAACAGCATCACCCTGGTCTTTTGAGAGGAGTCATAAACTGGCGGCAGTACCAAGGAGCATACTGGGTGCTAGAAACCCTTCCATGTCTGCTCTGGGCAATGGTTATTCATTACACTGAAACCTGTACACTTCACTCTATATAAATACCTCCTTAATTTTTTTCCAGTGTTATAGATCTAATCTAGGGCCTTGCATGTGCTAGGTCAGAGCTCTACTACTGAGCTACATCTTCAACGCTGCGTTTAAAATATTGCAATAAGAAACAGTATCTTTAAAAACAGTTCTTGGACAATTTCTCCACATTACGTGAGTAATCTATTAGCTCTAATACCGCTAATTCAGCAGCACCCACTGCACTTTCTCAATGGTGAAGGAAAAGGGAGAGGCACTGCTAATGGCACTCAGGAACTGGGGATCAGGCTGTGCTTCAGCGGATCCGTAGGCAACAAACCTAGGAGGTGATGAGCCGCTCTGGGGTCAGAAGTAGCTGCACGTGGTTTTTAGTTAGAGGGTATTCTGGAAATGACTGATGATGTTGGCTGCGATCAGTGAGCCCTGTGAAGTCATAGTGAATGTAGCAGGATTTAACTTTCCCATGGCCTTCCACGGGTTGAGGATGGATCCCCTAACCACGGCCTAGGAGGTCACTCACTGCCAAGTCCTCCTCGTCTCTCCCGAGTAGTGACTGTCACACACCATTCTCTTACACTTGCTCTGGGAGGGCCTGCTCAAAATGGAGTAGTAACAAACTCCAGGACAGCACTCGGCTGTGTGTGCTTTGGCCTGCTCTGCCTTGCTTGTGAGAGGGCAGCCAAGGAGACAGAAGACTTAGGGAAGGGGCGCAGAATCTGGTTTCCTGAGGGGTGAGGGAAAAACTCATCCCAGGAAGGTACAAGGAAATGAAACAATTAATAAGGCTCAAGAAAAGGGATTTTTGTTTTATTTTATCATCCCACACAGTGGGGATTGAACCCAGGGTCTGAACTGAGCTACATCCCCAGTCCTTCTTTAAAAATTATTTTAAATTTAAAAACCTTTATTAGTAGTATATGGTTGTGAGACATACTAATTACATTAATCTTGGGGAATTGGTACATACATACATATATATCTTATCCTGATCATTTTTATCTCCTCTTTCTCCAACTCTTCCCCCTCCTGCCTTCTCTAAAGCCCTTTCCTAACTGTCACAAAGCCCACCTCCCTGTTGCCTACCATCTCTGTTTATTTTGCTCTTTAAATTATTTATATTTTGGATTTCTCAGATAAGAGAAATATACAATCTATATGCAATATTCAACCTTCTGTGTCTGATTTATTTCACTAAGCATTATGGTCTCAAGGAGCATCCATTTTCTGGATTTTATTTATTTATTTATTTTTGGTACCTGGGATCAAACTTGGGACCTTGCGCTTTCAAGGCAGGCAGTGGAACCACTGAGCTAAATTCCCAGCCCCTGCATCCATTTTCTTTCAAATGACTCAAATGTATTCTTCTTTATGGCACAGTAGTATTCCATTATGTATGAATATATTTTCTTTATCCATTCATCTGTTGATAGACATATGGGCCACTTCTATAACTTAGCTATTATGAGTTGTGCTGCTATAAACATGGGCATATTTATATAAACATGGACACTGTAATATGATGTCTTTAACTTTTTTGGGAAGGTTCATAGAAGGGGTACAGCTGGGTTGAATGGAATTTCTAGTTTTAGTTTTTTGAGGAATCTCCATGCAGATTTTTTTTTTTTTGAGATAGGATCTTACTAAATCATTAAATTGCCCAGGCTAAGCTCAAACTTATGATCCTCCTGCCTCCTGGTGTTGTATGAAGATTTTTATAGTAATCCTGAGAACGGTGCTGGCCCAAAATAAACAGTCTTTGTTAACTATCATTATTATTATCATAATTCTATTGAATATTACATTCAGCTGCTATAGACACATCCATGAAACAATGTAAATGGGTAAATAGAATCATTACATTTGTATTTCCAAGGTAAATTTAATGTTAACTCTAAAGTAATCAACTGTATATTTTACAATCAACATTTTAGTGGCTTTGGTATAATAAACTTCCTTAGAAGATTCTAAGAGGGCAAAGAAACATTTTCTGATTTGATTCCATTTTTAATAGCACACAAAGCATGTATATCTTTATTTCATTACTCCTCTAGCCGGGTGCGGTAGTACATGCCCATAATCTCACCACTTGGGAGGCTGAGGCAGGAGGATTGCTATGAGTTAGAGGCCAGATGGATCTACACAGTGAGTCTGAGGCCAGTCTGAACTACATGGCAAGACCTTGTCTCCAAAAAACTTAAAAAAAAATTACTCCTCTAATTAGCACTTCCACTGGGATGTTTTAGATTACATGACTAAGTCAAAGCGGGTAAGATTATAAATAAGTAAGTGATTTCAGAGACACTTAAGTAAGTGCTTCAGTCCTGAAATATAAAACACCAGTTTTTCTCTTTTTATAGCTATATCAAAGCTGAAAAAAGGCACACTTTTGAGCAGTACTCTCACTACCATCCATCAAGCTGGTCTGCTAACCAGAAGAACTGGGTGTTGGAGATACCATGAATAGTGAGAGAAGAGCTAGGCACAGGGCTCTAGCACTATTTTAACTGTTAAGTACTATATAAAGGAAATGGACAAACTATTTAAAAATAACCTATTCGGGTTTCTTTTTGTTTGTTTTTCCGGTGCTGGGGATTGAACCCAGGCCCTTGAACGTGCTAGGCCAGTTCTCTACCACTGAGCTATATTCCTACACCCCTTTTAATTTTTTTTTTAAAATTTTTGAGACAGGGTCTTGCTAAGTTGCCCAGACTGGCCTTAAAC